CCCTATTTTTTTACAGTCCCTCTTTTTACCTCACTAAGCAGTGACACCTCCCACCACACCCTTCGCCTTTTCCAGCCTTACACACCGAGCAGACATTTGGAATTCTCTTTCCCAACTTAAAGGAGCATACACCTAGGACATTGATGAACACAAGTGGTTCCACCTACCCCTTATTTTCCTTGGATAAGAGAACATTAGGGACTTCTTTCCGCACCATTCCTCTTTGACAGAACAAATACAATAACCAGGTTCTGAGAACATTCTGTAGATTTGTGGCATTCTCAATGGGACTATAAATGGATCACATTGACAGCTTTATTTGTCATCCTTAAAGAGATTTCTTCCAGGATTTCTCTTGCTCTGGGTCAAATAAAAAATCAGAGAGGATATTTCTTATTTTACTGTGGCATGTTGTAACTTTAATAACTACAAAAAATAATTGATGCTATTCTAATTTACAAAATTTGTGCTTCATGAGGGGAGCTGATGAGTTGTAGTTTAAAGGTAAATGAGGGAAAACATCTTAGGCAACATTTTGCTTTTTGCCTGTTTATTGAGATCTTAATACAGATGCTAGAATTCTTTCACCATATGAAAGCAGAGACAATTATATTACAGTTAATGATTGAGATTTTAGAAGCTAGCATATAAAAAGACATCTCCAGCAGAATCTCCACGATCCAAAGACTAAATATCTTGAAATCTCTTCTCTCCTTTCCCTCTTTCTTTTTTCCTTCCTCACCTTATAAGCTGTAGTCTTATATATGAAGTGGCAGAAACGGGTAAAATGGGTATTGATTAGAAGCCATAGCTTTCATATCTTAATACATCCCTTATGTGGTTAAAAAGTTACTTCTCCTGATGTGAATTTTTTCACTTAAAGAACCCCTGTCATCTCCATCTACCTGCTACTGACTACTGAAAGCCCTCCTACTAATCCATTAGAATTCTCAATGCTCTTATGACTGATCACACTGTGCGTAGCATTGGAGTTTTTAAAAGCGCTAGGCTATGGGTAAATTTTTCTCACTGTATCTCTATCTGTTTGCATACTCACTTCATACACTCATACTTTCAATTGAGTCATGTTTATTGATTCCCTGTTCTGTGTCAAACAATGCTAGAATGCAACAAATTGTATCAAATATTCCCTGCTGTCATTTGGCCTAGTAGTGGAAAAACAGACGCTGAAAAAGTGACACCAGCAAGTATAAAATTGGAATTGTTCGAAGTGCATCAAAAGATACAGAGTTCTGAAAAATAAGATCAGCATGATGCCCAGGAGTCAAATTGATTGGGAATGCCTGAAGAATCTAACAGAATTCCCCTAGCTAGAGAGAACATAGGTGATGTGAAAGGTGGTAGGGAGGCACTAGGCTATGGACAACAGAATGCAAGGTGAACTACTCCAGTCCAGTGGTAGAAAAAGAGAATAACATGAAAGTTTCTTTAACCATATCAAGGAATATGCTTTAGTCCAGTTCACAAAGCAGAAATGACTCATTGCTTCCACTGGCTGGCACTGCAGTGTGGAGGAGGGATCCTGCAGGCTGAGACTTTCCAGAGCACTTGCTCACTTCTGTGGGGTGAAGTCATTTTCCATTTTCCATGCCACGCCTGCTGCAGCACAGAACTCTGAAACATACCCGTAGGAAAGGCAGAGTGGCACTGAGTACGGTGGACAGGTGAAAGATTATTGGATGGATCTGAAGAAAGGAGGTAAAAAGAGGAAACCGGATCATCAGTAAACAGCAATTTGCCTGTGAAATGGAAATGAGAGTTGGAGGGCAGCTAGAGAGAAGTAAATGAGTAATCATACAAATATTAAGCTATCTTACATTCCTAAACGTTAGGATCGACACATTCTACACAGAAGATCTGCCATTAGATACACTTGTGCCATTTGGTACATTCTAGTGCTAAACTCAAAGTGTCTTTTGTTCTGCTCTATTAAAACAAATGCAACATTTTTCCTCAATTATAAAACTTTCTTATTAAATGGTGAGACAAACTTGTGCTTGAAAAGAGAAGATGCAAAAATAAAACATCTACCTGTGCTTGCCCCCACGGTCTTTTTGCTTCCCTTCATTCCTTTGTCTTCCAAATCTGGAAAGTCTTTCTGTTGTCCGTGATTATTCAGAAAAGCATTTTCTCACTCTGTACCCCTAATCCTATGTTCAGACTTTTAGGGTGCTACTTCGACTTTTTAAAATTATTTTTAGAGTGCCCACAACACTTAAACAATGAACATTGCCTGTATGGGAATTAAAAATGTGAATAAACAGGTTTTCCTTAAGCGCCTTAAAAAATTTCTGAGAGCAAGTACTCTCCCGGATCTATGAATGCTCAAAATAAAGCCCATAAATGCAACATAAGGGCATAGTTAATGAGTCCAGGTTTGTAGAGGAGTATGCAGTGAATTCTTACTCAAGAATTTAGCAGGATCCCTGAAGGAGGTGAGATTTCACCTAGATGTTAAAAACTGAATATTTCAGGAAGCAGAAGGCTACAAATCAAGGAGTAGAGGGCAGGAAATCATACCTTGAAGGCGAGGGATAGCAAAGGAGACAGTATGACCTGAGAAGTTGTGTAGAACGTGATAAATTTACTTATTATTATAGTTCTGGTAATCACTTCTTGGTCTTTTGGTTAAGATCAAGTATATATAGTTCTTGGAGAGCTTTGTAAAAAAAACCTTTCAACACGCCCCCATAGGGATCTGTTGAGAGCTGGTAGAAGTTTTCAAGCAGTGGAGTTAGACACAGAAATTTTAGGAACAAGACTGGGATTATCTAATCAAGCAGGAAAATGATGGAGCCTGGAAGTAGGGAATAGATCAGATGGAGACCTTCGCCTGCTTGGGAAACAGTAGCTGGTGGAAGATGAATGGGAGATGGCACGGATGTTCTGGATTATAGCAATGCTTAGTACCTAAAAATGGGAAATACATATTTTTGAGTGCAAGGAATCTTGAGTGTGTACATTGTGGATAGATACAGTGATGGAATAGGAAAAGGAAGATTTACACCAAATAATCAAACCAAGAGGAGTAATAGCACCATTCATTTTAGGTACAGAAAGAAAACCGATCCGAGAGGAGGATGTTATGCCCTTCAGAGTTCATATTAGGTAGCAAGTCTTAGTAGTAAAAATGATCCATTTTCTCTATATTGTTTATATCACGCTTTTTAAAACTTATCCTATATATATGAAAGATTAATGGAGTGAGGAGAAACAGGAGAGAGCCCCTGTCTACCGTTCACTGCTAAAATGGCTGAAATAACTAGAACTGGGTTAGGCTGAACCCAGGAGCCCAGAGGTACATGCAGGTCTCCTGACTGGATGGCAGGGACCCCAAGCACACAGGCAGTCATTCTCTTTCTCAGACACATTATCAGACGTGGAATAACATGGACTTGAACTAACACTCTGTCAGCTATGGGATGCTGGCATCACAGGAGTTGGCTCAACTTGTTGTACCACAATGCCAGACTCCTTATATCATTCTTAAAAGGAAAAAAAAACTTCTATGATTTTCATAACAGGAGTATAAAATGCTTGGTTTCTTTGCAGATATGATGTACTTTCTCCTAATAATGGCATAATACCTTACTTTTACCTGACTTAACAAGAAATTCTAAACCAAATTATAATTTCAGTCATTTGAACTGTATTTACTAACACTGGTAGCATGTGCATGAGGCATTTAAGAAAGTTATGGAAAGTATGTGTTTAAAAATATACACATGAAAAATATGTTTTATGAAAAACTTTCATTTGAAGTAGTCATGATTTCCATGTTTATATTAGACTTATTTTTAATTCAATTTTTGATTACCCAAAATATTTTATATATGTATATACTTTCTTTATTTTTTATTTTTGCTTTTTTATTTATTCTTTATTTTTACTCTGAACCTTATTTTCTTTTTTAAAGTCTTCATGTATTTACTTTCACTTATTTGGAAGGGAGGAAAACAAAGACACACTGAAACAAAACAAGAGAGATCTTGCATTCACTGGTCCACTTTCCAAACGTCCTAATAGCCAGGCTGGAGCCAGGCTGAAGTTAGGAGACAGAAATTAAATCTGGGTTCATGTACATCAGTGGTAGGTACCCAACCTGAGCACTCACCATTGTCTCCCGAACATTAATAGAAAACTGGAATTAGAATCTGGGCCAGGAATTAAACCTAAGTACATCAATATGGGATTTAATTAATCTTTTGAACCTACCTCCAATTTCTAAGGTAAAGAATCAGAACAAATAAGTATGTTTGGGCCCAGCACGATGGCTCAGTAGCTAAATCCTCACCTTGAATGTGCTGGGATCCCATACGAGTGCCAATTCATGTCCCGGCTGTTCCACTTCCCATCCAGCCTCCCTGCTTATGGCTGAAAAAGCAATAGAGGATGGTCCAAAGCGGTGGGATCCTGTACCTGCATGGGAAATTTGGAGGAAGCTCCTGGCTCCTGGCTCCTGGCTTCGGATCAGCTCCGCTCTGGCTTGGGGCCACTTCGGGAGTGAACCCAGTAAATATAGGATCTTGTCTTTGTATCTCTGTAAATCTGCCTTTCCAATTAAAATAAATAAAGCTGTGAAACAAATAAACAAATATCTTTGCAGTAAACTAAATGTCTTTTCACATATCTCCTGATCTTATCATGAGTAAAGTCCCTTTGATTATCTCATACTGTCACTTTCCCCTGGGAGGTAAGGGAAATGAGCCTTAGTGAGATTAAGAACTTCAAGTTCACTCCAATGAATCTTAGAAGTTGGATTCAACCCCAGGTACTTGATCTTCAGAGGCAATTGTCAGTTAAGCCTACTTTTTTTTTCTGAGCAGCTGGAATTTGTACAAGGATTTATAAATGGCACATAGTTAACTCAGATAGCTTTTGTACTGATGAGCAATAATCACTGAAATAAACTAATATTGTTTAAGTTGTGTTCTTTCTTCTTGATGATGAGACATTTCATGCTTGTATCTCTTTCCTAGGTTTTATAACAATCAAGCAGTACGTGAAAAGGGCCTCTTCATCAAGCATTCTTGATTAAATTATGAAAATGGAATTGAAGCTCTGTTTCCCCATTCATGTGGTAAGTAATTATTAATTTGGATAACAGAGTGGGCTTTCCCTTTTATAATTTTCTTACAATGTATAACAAAGAAATGAAATGCTTTCAATGTTTTGGTGCAACTTATGTATAATATAGAGGTTTGTCTCCAAAATGTTACATAAAAATATTAAAAGGGTCCATGTCTTAGCTCACTAGTTGGACTTTATAAATTTAAAATTTCAAGTATCCCAACACATTTATGAGTTTGGATGACTATGACACCTCTTCTAACCATTTTCTACATTATTTTATACAAAAAAATTGGCATGTGCACTCAGGAAAATCATGGACCCAGACAAGGATGATTTAGAAATGGCAAGTTGCTGAGCAATATTTTTCTTCCTCCCAAATGCCCTGGCTGGAAGCATCTGTGCCGTCTGGCCTGCATAATGACTGCTTTTAATTGGAAGAATGTATTATTACTCCATAAATGATTAGAACTATAGTTTATCCCAAGTGAACAAAATCAGCTTTTGGAAAAAAAAGGACTGGCGTTATTGAGATTCCCCTCCTCCAGGGTCGTGTGTCTGAAGGACTCATGATGGTTTAGAATGAACAGCTGACTTTCTTTTGTCTACTCCTAAAATCATTTCTTACTTTCGTTTTACATTGTAGTTTGGCTTTTTTTTTTGTATGTTTATATGGTCTAATGCATATTTGAAAGAAAAATCTCTATAGGCAGCTGTGAGTATTGTAAAATTTCATTTATTCCAGTGAATTAGGGAGGTGGGCATATCTGAATTTGTGGCAGTGCTGAATTATGGATTACTTTTAAACAAATGTGGCTTTTATTACCTTTAACTACGTAAAGTAACTTCCACAAAACATTACAATGTTGAAGTCCTTAGGAGACCTGTTATAATAAATCATATGAACATGTTATTAGCATATAGATTGGATATATGTTGGAGCTTGTAAAATGCCTGGGGTTCCTTGAAAATTGTTTATTTTGCTTTTAAGAAGTGTACGTTAAGACTGAAAATAAATGTATAAAATACCATATATTATCTAACTATGAATAAACTGTTTACATAGTACAAGTAAACATTAGTCCAGTTTATGAGCAAATTATCAAAAAACTTTAAATAAATGTATTGTATTGAAGTCCCAAGTTAATAAGATATTACCATGAGTGGATAAATAACTTAGAGAACAAAACTTTGTTGATCTTTCTCTCAATATGGATATTTATGCTAATGAATCATGATCCCATTGACACTATTAGTCCCCAAAGTAATTGCTTATCTGAAGAACTTCTGTCTTACAAGTTTCATTAATTAAATCCATTTATGTTTTATGCACACATTTCAAATTCTCAAGTCCTTTTTTCATATGCTAAATTCAAATATGTTCACGTAATAATACCTTTCATCAATGCTTCAGTCTTTCATTTGAAAGGAACTTTCAGAATAGCTATATGCATAATGTACTTCTACTATCAATATTTTAGAAAACTCAACCCACCAAATGTTTATTTTTTAAAGTTTTCTATTTATAATGGTGATCACTATCCTGAATTATATCCATTAGTCTAATTAATTCAGTGATTTTTTTTTATATTGTGATTTTGCATGTCAGTTTTTAACATCTAAAAGGCCTTTCAAATCAAGCAACCTTTCAAGGCACATGGGTTTTAACTTATTGGTCTTTCCAGAGAATTGGAATATTACAAAAATATGAAATATGAAGCAAAAATAGTCCAATTTTAATATGTACTTAAAACAGAGTGTAATTCACAAAGTTAAAGAGGCTATATAAGTATAGTTTCTTGATTTTTTTAAACATTTGAGAAGTTGAAAGTTAACATATGAATTTTTGTAAATGTCTACATTAGATCCAAATGGTAAAAATCTTAAGTGTGTGAAAAAGGTGCTGAAGCGAGGACAGTAAAAGACGCAGAGGAGCAGGCCAGAGTGGATGAGGGTCCAGATGCTCCATGCAGATGAGTGCAGCGCTTAAAGTCCAAAGCATGACAAGATCAGATACTGGAAAAGGACAAAGCTTTGGAATCATGCGTAATTAAACTATCTCTTTGTACCTTTTGAATGCTCATCTAGTCAAGAGTGTATTTAATTGTATTCCCCTTTGCAAAAAAGACATATTTTGTAAATAGGTACAAATTCCAGTCTCACATTCTATCTGAATCATAAAAGAGTGCATATGATATTCTATAATCATCTGAAGTATGACACTTTGTTCCTTTTTAGCTCCACTAGATAATAGTATACTTTTATTAATGTGGAATTATATTGTAGGTATAAAAAGAAAAGCAATCTTTGGTACCCTGAAAAACTCATACATCTTATGAGAAAACAAACAAATTTCATTCAATTAAATCTTACTGATTCGTTTAAGCAATGATCTATGTAAAGTCTAATATCAATAGCCTCCTAAAAAGACATCATTTTCTTTGTTGCTAGGATTGCCCAAAGGAAACATTTCTTCTCATTTAGAGAAAGTAAAGATAAAGTACTTGTATTATTATTTGTATAAATTTTTAATACTGAATAACATATTAGTGTTTAGTATAATATTGATTCGCAATGTAATATTCCTCCATAATGGCAAACTAATTGGCTAAAATTAAATCAGACAGATTCAAGAACCCTGAGAATAGACCATCTAACACTTGCAATTTTTTTTCATTAGTTTCCAGAATTTGTATTAAGATGAAATTAATCTGTCAAATAAAAGGCCGCTGAACAATAGAAGTTATGTGCAATATGTCATATGTACCTCCCTTCCTTCCCACTGTTCCATCCCCATGCTGTGATATAAGACTTAAAGGTGAGGAAAGAAGAGCAGATAAAATTCATAGTTTAACAGTGTTTGAGAGTGAGGCAGTTAACATGCCTTCCAGGTCTGTAACTATCTGTAGACTTCAGACATTTGGCCTAAATCCCTTGAGACAGTTTCCTAAAGTCCTGTTACTCCAATAATAGTGACATCCTGGAGTTTTTGAGGAAATAAATTGAAGGTTCTCCGTAAGAGTTGGCCCTCAAAACTATTACTATAGAATCTTGCGTACCAAAAGCAATTCAGTGATTCGGCTAAGCCAGCTCAGCACAATTCACCATGCCTGACTGCTAAGTCATCTGCTTGGGGTGACCGATTTTTAGCTATCTTTACAAGTAGACTGATCCACTTAATACTTGACTAGTCTAGTTGGCTCATGGGCAGGATGATACCAAAGTTCACGGGACACTACTTGATGTGTGTTTTCTCAGAAATGGAAGAAAATAGAAAAAGACAAATAAAAAGTAACCAACAGCAGCAGATAGCTATTACTTTTTAACTTCTGTGGTTAGTAAAGCTTCAGGAATTTTCAGGTGATCATGCTTTCACTGTATAAAATAAGCAGATGTTTGGGCAATTGGCTGGAAACTAGGATCTCCTGGTTAATAAAAGATCCCAATTAGTAGGTTATTTGATACAGGAATATTACCAACTTCAAAGCCAGTTGAATGTCAAAAAACAGTTTTAACTTAAACTGTCTTAAGGCAGGAAATGCCTTGCTTAATTTAAGAGTTTTAAGGTCCAAGAGTCCTGAATTTCATCCTTATCACCCTCAAGCTGTGTGACCTTGACTAATTCTCTTGACTTCTCTGAGTTTACGTCTCATCTGTCTAATGTATGTAAAATTACCTCACAGTGTTGTTGGCAGAATTAATCGACGTAAAGCATTTGCCAAGCATTTGCAGTGACTGAACGGTAGCAGTTATTATTTTCTTCATTATGGGTGCCTTAACTCTAAAGTCATCTTTCAGTGCATCTCTACTTATTTTCAGGTTGTTATCAGCGCCTTCTGTTCTCATGATAGAGAATGCTAATGATGGTATGCAGGTACTTTTATTAACAAAAGAAATTGAAATTATATCCTCAAGAAAAGAAGAAAACTAGGGGCCAGTGTTGTGACACTGCCATCCCAGACAGGAACACCAGCTCTCAAGTCCCAGCTGCTCTGCTTCCAAACCAGCTCCCTGCTAAATGTGTTAGGAAGACAGTGGGGGGTGGCCCAAGTACTTGTCCCCCTGTCTCCCACAAGGGAGATCTAGATGGAGTTCTAGGCTCCTGGTCTCACTCTGGCCTCAGCCACAGCTATTGGGGGCATTTGAAGAATGAACCAGCAAACTGAAGAGTTCTTTCTATCTCTCTCTCTCTCTCTCCTCTCTTTTTCCTCTCTCTCTCATTCTTCGCCACTATGATTTAAAAATCTTTTTAAAAAACAAGAAAAAAAAGAAAATTGACATATAACACCTGGAATTTCCTAGTGAGAATTTCTATAAGGAGAAGTCAAATTTCTGAAATTAAGAAATGAATGACATACACATCTTTCTGACATATTTTAATATAGTTGATAATCCAGTTTTTAATTAGCACCTAATTATAGTAGAAATTTCCCCAGGTAAATGTCATAACCTACTTTGGAGAAGAAAATGGTACTGTCAGTGGGAGCCCCTGTAGTGAATTTTGACGCTTTTTTGGCTCCAATTTGCTGTAAGCCAAAAGAGCTCTAAGATGGAAGGGAGCTGCTGCACAACCCAATCATTATGATGTCAAGGAAGGTGAAATACTACCCATGAAGTTTTCTACAATGCTTGCTTTTTGGGAATGTTTTGAAGACTCCTGGTATGTGTGGATTTCCAATTTTTAACACCAGAATAAACTTGTAATTCCCTTTGTCATAAGCTTTTGGAAGTACCCTTATAAGAAGGCTAAATTTGTCTTTCATCACTCTTTTTATTTTTCCAATTTCTCTAATCTTTAGAGTAGACTGAACTTTGTGTTTGTTTCCACCATTCTTACGTTTTAAAGTACACTTTCAGTTATGCAAATCTCATGCCCTTCAATGTTCTTTGTGGTCTGCTTTAACTGCTTCCATGTCCCTGCCCTCAAACGGCAGAGAGATGCCTGAGAGGACCAGCTCCACATCATCGGAGGCACTTGTTTAATTCCGCAACCCAGAGCTTTTAGTCTAT